GGACCAGAAAGGAAGGCAGAATTTTTTACAAAATTGAAAAAATCCATCAAAAATCTGCTAGAATTCTACAAAGCTACCCCCAGTTTCAATTTTTTTTAGCTGAATACACCCAGATTAGGCATAAAATCGAAAAGCACCGTTGAAAAGAAAATAGCGCGGCGCCGGGGTCCTCTTAAAAATTCTTGTTGACGCATCCATCCCTTTGAAAGCACTTCTTGGGCGGCGAGAGAGTAGAGGGATGAGAGAAACAGAAGGAGGAGAGATTGGGGAATATTAGAGAGGCGCGAGAAAAGCCATCTCATAGCACCGGAAAGGTAAACAACACAGACGAGGCTTGCCGTTTCTAAGGGTAATTAAGGCGTTGGAAAATATTGTGCAATATTAGAAGGGGCAGGCTAGCAGAGATTTTTAAGGAAAGGGCACTAGCAGATATTCTTTGAGAATCAAAAACATTCCGCTTCAGTTGAGTACAGAAACTTCCAAAAACCCCGGCTCGGAAACCGGTAAACAACACGGGATTTGGAGGGATTTGCCCTGGGGCAGAAGAGAGAGAGAGAGAGAGAGAGAGAGAGAGAGAGACTGCGAGAGAGACATGGATAGACGGAGACGACCAAAAAAATGGATAATCCAGGCGTATATTTATTTATAACTTACCATTTCCCACTCTCCCTCCATCATGTCCCTGTTTCCTTGCTGATCGTGCGACGACATGGCGTCGTTGAAGATATTCTAAAAACGCGATTTTCGATATTGGTAAGCTAGCGGAGATTCTTTAGGAGGGGCAGGCAAGCAGAGATTCTTTGAGGGACGCCCTGCTCACAAATTATGAACGTTCTCGAAAGCGTTTCGGAGCCAAAATCTCAAAAAAGTGGTTGCCTACTTTTTGAACGGCTGGGATTTTGGCTGGTCGAGAGAGCGAAAGAGAGAGAGAGCGAGAGAGAGAGAGAGATGGATAGCGACAGAGAGAGGGACAGCGACCCCAAAACCTCTATCCACCTACCGTATCCTTACGGCATTCGGCAACCCTGGCGTCTCGACGAGCACTCCCTCGCGTCGATCCTGATCTCCTTATGGGGGCCTGAAAAAAACCCATGATTTGCATACGTACCCAAATGGACGTTGACAGTGGAATTTAGCCCTTACCGTCCGTTCCAAACCATATAATAGCCCAGGCTGTCGCTCAGAGTTGGCGCTCGAGCTCGGGCTCAAAAATCGATGCAAAAGATCTCCGAAAAGTTGTTAAATTCTCAGAAAATGCCTGGAGGTAGATTGCTGTAGCGCACCCGTGTTTGAGGAAGCCTAAAAAACATCTATTTTTATGGCAGGCTAGCAGAGATTCTTCAGGAAAGCGCCGGCTAGCAGAGATTCTTTAGGAAAGGGCAGGCTTGCAAAGATTCTACAGGAAAATGCAGCTAGCAGAGATTATTTAGGAACGCAACGAAAGCTCTGAAAATCGGCTGGTCGACCCCATTAAATCCCCCGGTTCTCGCTTTCTTAATGGATTCCGAGCCTCCAAACAAAATCAAATCAGGGCAAATTCTAGAAGGAAAATTCAAGATCCGAAATGCGATAAGAATAGCGAGCGGCCCTTTCCTAAATGATCTCTGCTAGCCCGCGCGACACGCTAGAAGACAATGGACGAATTTTGCAAGCGTTCCCCAAACCAGCGAAAAGTTTGGCGAGGAGCCCGACAAACAGAACGAAAAAGTCGTGCGGAAACAGGAATCCGCTTCACCGATTCGCCAAAAAGACACAAAGCATCAAGAGATTAGAAATGACGCCTGATCGCGATGCGCTGATAGCGGGAGGGCCCCCGGAAATGGGGGTGGGTTTCTTTAGGAAACCGAAGTAGGGTTCGGCTCAGGCTTAGGCTTGGCTTAGGTTGGGCTTAGGCTTACGCTGAGGCTTAAGCTACGAATTCGGCTACGGCTTAATTAGACTTAGGTTTCGGCTTGAGCCTTGAATTCGGCTTGGGCTTAAGCTTAGGCTGGGGCTTGGGCTTAAGCTTAGGCTGAGACTTAGGCCTGGGTCTAGGCTTAGGCTTAGGCTTAGGCTTAGGCTTAGGCTTAGGCTCAGGCCTAGGAATAGGCCTAGGCCGAATCTATTGCAAATCAAGTATGAGGACGAACGATAAAACCAAAGCAAAAATTCCCTCGAACCAAACGCGGCTGGCCAGGGGTGCGCGACTCGCCAATAGGCTCCCCAAGGAACATTCGTGCGCGAGGGGGATATTACAACTGAGAGAGAGAGAGAGAGAGAGAGAGAGAGAGAGTCGATTCGTGATTTGCCGATTGTCTGATCGCCCACCCATCCCCCAGCCTTCCCATGGAAATTCCTCCCCTGCATCTCTTTTTCGAAATTCGATAATCAGAGAACAGGGGAATGGATTTCCTGTAATCTCTGCTAACCTGCCCCTTCCCAAAGTGTCTCTGCTAGCCTGCCCGTAACATGACCGACCGAGCGACGTCTTTTTAAAGTCGTATTTATAGCCATCCATACTTCCCGAAACTCACGTAAAATACCCAGGGATGACCGGCGGGTCAAAACAACTTTACGAGCTTTTTTACGACTACTAAAAACTACATCCAACAAGGAAACATTGGGCAGACTAGCAGAGACTTATAGGAACGAGTAGGCTAGCAGAAATCCTTGGAGAAAGGCAAAGGAGCGGAAGGCCATTGGCCAATTTACTTGAAAACTTCAAGACTTTTCGGTTTTATAGGCTTCAAGGCAAGAGTGAGAGCGAGAGGGAGAGAGAGAGAGCTAGAGAGAGAGAGAGAGAGAGTGCGAGTGAGAGAAAGGAGAAAGATAGAGAGAGAGACATAGAGAGATAGGTAGAAAGAGAGAGATACCCCAAAGTTCTCAAGTAAATATAGCCTAATATGACTGTATTCTCAGGGTCAATTGCACCCAAATTCGGTTGATGTCATGGGATCCGAAAGAAAAAATGGCCGCAGCCGTCAATAGGAATCCGGCGTAGCGGTGAGGCGGCGCGAGGGATGGTTGATCTCGTTTTAGGGAGGGCGTGTTTTCGAATTTATGGGTGGACAGACAGACAAACATAGAGAGAGAGAGAGAGTGAGAGAGAGATACAGACAAACAAACTCTGATCTTGGCTGCCGTCCAACCGATTGTCGGCCATTTATATGACTACGGTCCCTATAAGGTAAATAGTTCAGTCACGGAAATTCGTCGACCACGCGTAAAAACTACAGTATCCTGGAAGTGCACGTCATTTTAAAGGGACATCGAAGGTAGCCGTCGATGGTTTGTAGCCATGGATTTGCCTTGTGTGGCCCTTTAATTTTTCGCTGATTTTTGAGGGGAGGCTAGCAGGGAATCTTGAGGAATCCAAGTGATGGAAATCTTAGAAATAAAAAGCCTTTTAGAATTCTTGAAATTCCTCAGAATTCTCTGCTAGCCTGCCCACAAAAATCCGCGAAAAATTAGCGCAGAGTTGGCTTTCAAGCCCTTTTAGTCTCCAGATTTCAGATTTTCGGTTGTTGGACTTGCCGGACCCTTTAAAATCTAGTTTTGGAGACTAGAAAAGCACAAAAAATTTTTTACATTTTAAAATGGGAAATTCACGCTTCAAAGACGATACCAAAGTTTTCAAAAAAATTTTTGAGCCCCAAAGGCTTATCAAATCGTTAGAAAACCGCTTAAGAATCGAATCCATACAATTCTGCGCTGTCTGGGGCTTTGTGAGAACCCATGTCTTTCAACGTTTAAGACCCTCACAAACCGCAAGAAAAATTGACGCATGTTTGCGCGGCTGGTCTCTATCTCTCACGCGCTCTCTCTCTCTCTCTCTCTCTCTCCCGCCCTCTCTTTCTCTCGTAACACCGGGTTTGATCTTTGCGTTTCGCGCCCGGCATCGCCGGAAAAATGGCAATTTGAGCGACCGTGGGTAAATATTGTCGGAATTTGTTGACGTTCGGCGGTGTCGAACGGAATAGTTACGGTAGTTGAGGCCGGAAAAAAGAGGAAAATAGAGGGCACCTTATTTGGGTGCATTGCTGTATTGAGACCACAAACGGTAAACAATTCCACAAAGAACCACCGCTAGCCTGCCCTTTCCTAAAGAATCTCTGCTAGCCTGCCCATTAAAATTTTTCACACCCGGACGCGGATAAAACCAGTTTGAAATAACTGCGGTCAAGGAATCAAGCAAATGCAAAAAAAATTCGGGGGCGAAAATAATCGCCCCCACCCCCGACCGTGATGATATGCAAAACAGCCCGGTTGTCTGGGTTTTTGAGGCGAGAGAGACAGAGAGAGAGAGAGAGAGAGAGAGAGAGAGCGAGTGAGAGGCAGATTTAAAACCGGCTGTTTAGAGGGGTACCCCCGATCAAAAAGGCAAATCCCCCATATTTCCGTCTAGCTCTGGTCGACCAGGGAAGTTAACCCCAACTTAAACGTGGAAAAAAAAATGCCTCAGAGCGAGAGAGAGCGAGAGAGAGCGAGAGAGAGGGAGAGCGAGAGAGAGAGAGAGGCGAGAGACGAAGAAAGCGCAAAAAATCAGCCGGCCTATTACTCATTTTCGCAAGGAAATTGGAACATTTGTTCAGAGCAATTTTGAGGTCTAGGGGGACAAATAAAGAGAAACGGAAAGAGAATGAGAAGAAGCTAGCAAGAGAAGGTGAAACTCGGAAAAAGTTAAGGTGGTGCAAGAAAAATAGCCATCCGTACACAAGTGTATAAACGAATGGCAAGAAAAATCCGGGCATATAAGCGCCAGTTTCACCGAGGCTCCAGATCACTAATTTTGTTTTAGTTTAGTTTTGCAACAGCCGTGTTTTGTCGAGATCCGAAATTAATCTCTTTTTTTTGTGCAACGTGATCGTATTGAAATTTGCATAAAGTGACTGGACCCTTAAAAACAAAGGCAGTCATAACACCACGCGTAAAAAGTTTTTTTGCCCGTTCCCATTTGTCTCTCGCTTCACTCAATCTTTTAAAGCGATTCGTAAAGGAACCTGTGACGACTAGAGTTCAGCATGCTCTGCGCTACCGTACTCCTTGCTGTCGTCGGCTACGCGGCGGCAGCGTGCGTCAGCGACGCAAATGGAGTCTGTATTAGGGTGAGTCGGGGCAGTGGTTTTGTAGGAAAAAGCCGGCTAGCAGCGATTATTTAGGAAAGGGCAGGCTAGCGGAGATTCTTTAGGAAAAATTTTCCCTGGTTTAGGTCTACAACAAATGCCCGTTTCCCGTGTGGCCCGGAATCCAGGGCTCTACGATCCCGAATGGCGGCGGCTTCAAGCTGAATGCTGGCGAGGCAAAGGTATACGCTTTTAGGCATAAATTGCAAATTCTCCAAGAATCTCTGCTAGCCTGCCCTGAAAAACAAAAAATTTTAGGAGCTTCGAGTGCCCAACGGCTGGCGAGCGGCCCGAATCTGGCCGAGGACGGGTTGTGACGGGAATATGCGATGCGAGACTGGGGATTGTGGCGGAAACGTGAGTGGGAAGAGAGCGGAGAGAGAGAGCGAGAGAGAGAGAGAGAGAAACCTAGCTGTCCCAAACCCTTTAAACCCCCGTCTTCTTCCAGACGGAGCAGTGCAATGGCCGTGGAGGTGTCCCGCCCGTCTCCCTAGCCGAGTTCACCCTGAATGGAGCCGGATCTCAGGATTACTACGATGTTTCCCTTGTGGACGGCTACAACATCCCCGTTTTCATCATCCCCATTGAGGGCACCTACCGGACCACGGGAGGTTGGTGTCACGCTCGCTTTAAGCTAGAGAATACGGTATAGATAGGTGTCACGCTCCCTTTAAACCTTGGAAAACGCTGCTTTTAGGCAGGATAACCATGTTTTTTTCAGGGCAATACGACTGCAAGGTCGCCGGCGGGTGTGTCGAAAACCTCGCCTCGGAAATTTGCCCGGAAAAGATGCGCGTCGTAAAGGTATGGTAGGATTGAGGGGCTTAGGCTTAGGCTTAGGCTTAGGCTTAGGCTTAGGCTTAGGCTTAGGCTTAGGCTTAGGCTTAGGCTTAGGCTTAGGCTTAGGCTTAGGCTTAGGCTTAGGCTTAGGCCTAGGCTTAGGCTTAGGCTTAGGCTTAGGCTTAGGCCAGGCTTAGGTTCAGGCTTAGGCTTAGGCTTAGGCTTAGGCTTAGGCTTAGGCTTAGGCCAGGCTTAGGCTTAGGCTTAGGCTTAGGCTTAGGCTTAGGCTTAGGCTTAGGCCAGGCTTAGGCTTAGGCATCGGCTTAGGCTTAGGCTTAGGCTCGGGTTAGGCTTAGGCTTAGACTTGGGCTTGCCCCGTATACCTTACTTGTCCAGAACGGCCGTATCGTCGCCTGCAAGTCGGCTTGCGAGGCGTTCAACACCGACGAGTACTGCTGCCGGTGAGCGCATTTAAAGGGCTTTGGAAGGAAAACGAAAAGGGAACTTGCCAGTCACCATTGAAAAAATTGGTAATTCCAGTGGCGCCCACAGTACGCCGCAGACCTGCCCTCCCACACAGTACTCTCAGCTGTTCAAGGTATGGCTTGAGCCTCACAGCCCATTAGTTCTAGTTGAACGTCTATGCCCCTTTCAAAATAAATTTCAGCGCGCATGCCCGGCCGCTTATTCGTACGCCTACGACGACAAGACCTCCACGTTCTTCTGCCGCGGCAACAATGGACCTTCGCCAGCCTATACCGTGCAATTTTGCTAATTTCGAGCGACGAAAATCCGAATAAATTTCTTGAAAACCAAACAGCAAGCCAGCCGTAAAAATTTGGTACGAGCGATAGAGAGCGGGAGAGACAGAGAGAGAGAGAGAGAGAGAGAGAGAGAGAGAGAGAGAGAGAGAAGAAGCGAGAGTTTGAGGCGAGAGAGAAAGAAAAAGCGAGAGTTTGAGGGGAGAGAGAGAGAGAGAGAGAGAGAGGGGGGAGGGAGGAGAGAGAGAGAGAGAGAGAGAGAGAGAGAGAGAGGGAGAGGGAGAGGGAGAGAGAGCGCATGCTGCACCTTCTAGTAGTCTGGACTCTGATATGTACAAATTTATCGGGTTGCATAAATATGTATTCTGTAGTTTTGCTGACGTCTAGCAGAACTGGATGGTGTACGCCGGAGATGGTCCGTTGCTGCCGCGGCAGAAGAAGGTGGAGGTCTTGTCGTCGTAGGCGTACGAATAGGCTCCAGGGCAGGCTTTCTGAAGGGCTTTATCCATTAATCGTATACTTTAATGACCGCAACAAATGGTCTTTGCTAGCTAGCCTGGGGCTTCTTTCAAAAAGTTCAGCTCCTACCTTGAACAGCTCGGAGTACTGGGTGGGCGGGCAAGTCTGGGGGGTTCCGTGGGCTCCGCTGAAAGAGGGAAAATTGGACTTTGGCTTGGACTTAGGCTTAGGCTTAGGCTTAGGCTTAGGCTTAGGCTTGGGCTTAGGCTTGGGCTTACCGGCAGCAGTACTCGTCGGTGTTGAAGGCCTCGCAGGCGGACATGCAAGCGACGATACGGCCGTTCTGGAAATTCAGTGTTCTAGCCCCTTTAAAACGACCTCACCTTGACGACACGCATCTTCTCGGGGCAGATATTGGAGGCAAGGTTCTGCACGCAGCCGCCCGACATCTTGCAGTCGTATTGGCCTGAAAATACGGGTTTCTCACTCTCGCATTATCTCTCTTTCTCTCTCTCTCTCTCTCTCTCTCTCTCTCCTTCTCTCGCGACATCAACACCAACCTCCGTTCGTGCGGTAAGTGCCCTCGATCGGGATGATCAGCACCGGGATGTTGTAGCCGTCCACAAGGGAAACATCGTAGTAATCCTGAGCTCCGGCTCCATTCAGGGTGAACTCGGCGAGGGAGACGGGCGGGACGCCTCCACGGCCATTGCACTGCTCGGTCTGGAAGAACAAGGGGTTTAAAGGGGTTGGGACAGCTAGGTTTCTGTCTCTCTCGCTCTCTCTCCTCTCTCTCTCTCGTCTTCTTTGAACTCACGTTTCCTCCGCAGTCTCCAGTCTCGCAGTTCATATTTCCATCGCATCCGGTGCGGGCCCAGACGCGGGCAGCTTGCCAGCCGTTGGGGACACGGAGTTGCTAAAATTGCGCATTAATGGGAGGTTCCTAAATAGCCTCTGCTAGTCCGCCCTTTCCTAAAGATTCTCTGCGAGCTCTATCAGCTCAAAAACAAGCCCTCCTTCTCGGCTTTCGCTTATCAGGCAGACCAAATTGACAGGTGCTGCTGGTCCTTGGACCCGCGCGCCGTTTTCTGACCTTATCAGGTCTGGTCGTGGAGTGCAAAAAAAATTGGTAGGGTGTTCTTTGCTACCCTGCTCTCCCCGCTCTCTTTCTCTCTCTCTCTCTCTCTCTCTCTCTCTCTCTCTCTTTCTCTTTCTCTCTCTCTCTCACCTTCGAGTCTCCAGCATTCAAACGGAATCCGCCTCCATTCGGCACAAACGATCCCTGAACTCCAGGCCAAATCGGGAACGGACACTTGTTATAGACCTAAAACGGAGCCGTATTTTCCTTAAGAGTCACTGCTAGCGTGCCCTTGCAAAAATAAGCACACCACTCACATTAATGCAAACGCCATTTCCGTCGCTGGTGCAGGCGGCCGCTGCATAGCCGACGAGGGCGAGGAGTACGGCGGCGCGGAGCATCCCGGAAAAATAGAAAAATCGTAACCTGCCAGGCTTAAAAGTGGCTTTAAAGGGCGGCGCAAGGGAAGGTCCCTGAGGCTTTAAGCACGCAGATTGCTGAGAGAAAGCGGGGGGGAGAGAGATAGGCCGCGAGAGAAAGAGAAAAGGGAAAGAGAGACCGCTTGATCCAGCGAGAGAGAGAGAGAGAGAGAGAGTGAGAGAGAGAGAGCGTGCGAGAGAGAGGGGGCTCGGCCAGCGGAAGAGGGGGGGGCTGTTGAAGGGGGAGAGGTAGCACCCTCCAGCCCATGCCGTTGCCACGCTTCATCCCGGCCCCATTTTTATACCTTCCGTCTTATCAGAATCCACCCGAACGCTATTTTTTGGCCGGCTCCGGACGCCGTCCCAAAAAATTAACGTACCCCATTGACATCTCTGCGTCTGACACTCTCTAACCGATTCAGGCCCGGGGGTCCCCCCAAAATCACATGCCGGCTCCGTTATCTAACCTCAAAAAGGACCAAAAATTAGTGGAAAAATTAGGGAGCAAGACCGGAAATGCGGCTCACCGGTGTTGATCTTCATCCAGAACTTGACCTATTCAGAGCTCAATTATGATAAAAACACACCGAGCCCTGCGGGGGAAGATTTACACTGATACCGAGGCGAGGTTCAATCCTTCCGGTCCAGTTTATGGCCAATCGAGCATCTGAGAGAGAGAGAGCGCGAGAGAGAGCGATAGAGAGAGAGCGAGAGAGAGAGACTTAGCCCAACATGTGCTTTCCTAACGAATCTCCGCTAGCTCGCCCTTTCCTAAAAAACCTCTGATAGCCTGCCCTTCAACTTCTGCACCGCTTGAAACTTTCGGCATTCCCCTTTCATGCTTCTCGAATTTTGACATTCGTTGATCGTCCCAGAAGACCATTGTCTGAAGGTACGCCGCGTTCTCCGGTTGGCGATAAGCCGTAAATAGGCCCTTCTGGAATTCGGCGGGCCGGACCATAGAATTGCACAGAGTACCAGAGTACGGGTTACCTTTCTGACTAGCACCCCCCAATCGGTCAGACGGCTGATTTGGAGCTTTGCAGGGTGAGCAGAGATTCTTTAGGAATGGGCAGGCTAGCAGAGATTCTTTTGGAAAGGAAATCCTTTAAGAACACAAACAAAACAGAAGCCATTTATTCACGTTTAATAAAGAAAAATGCATTCCCAAAAAAAAGATTCTGTCGCGCGTGTGCCATCGTCGTTGTCGTGTCGAGTAAATTTTCACCGGCTTTTCCGAGCTGTTCAGCCGATCACCGGCTCGTTCGACCTGGACGGGGCCACGTTCAGCGGCATCAGGGCCTGGAAAAGTGGGATTTTCAAAGGGTCTCTGCCAGCTTGCCCTTTCCGAAAGGATCTCTGCCACCCTGCCCACCCACCGAAAAACGTTCCCGGGCCCGTTTCGGTTTCTTGTCGCTGCGCTCGTCCCGGATGCTGGCAACTTGTCTAAAAAGTGGAGAAGCTGGCTTCAACGGTCCTTTAAAACCCACCTGAGTGTGTCATCATCGTGAGTGCCCGAGCCAACTAGCAAAATATCGGGCGGCGCCTGCGGGTCGACACGCCTGAATTCCCGGGCGCTTAAAGGAAAGTAATAGTTTAAAACTAGAATTTCGTGACAGATCGCTGCTAGCCTGCCCTTTCCTAAAGAATCTCTGCTAGCCTGCCCTTTCCTAAAGAATCTCTGCTAGCCTGCCCTTTCCTAAAGAATCTCTGCTAGCCTGCCATTTCCTAAAGAATCTCTGCTAGCCTGCCCTTTCCTAAAGAATCTCTGCTAGCCTGCCCTTTCCTAAAGAATCTCTGCTAGCCTGCCCTTTCCTAAAGAATCTCTGCTAGCCTGCCCTTTCCTAAAGAATCTCTGCTAGCCTGCCCTTTCCTAAAGAATCTCTGCTAGCCTGCCCGTTCCTAAAGAATCTCTGCTAGCCTGCCCTTTCCTAAAGAATCTCTGCTAGCCTGCCCTTTCCTAAAGAATCTCTGCTAGCCTGCCCTTTCCTAAAGAATCTCTGCTAGCCTGCCCTTTCCTAAAGAATCTCTGCTAGCCTGCCCTTTCCTAAAGAATCTCTGCTAGCCTGCCCTTTCCTAAAGAATCTCTGCTAGCCTGCCCGTTCCTAAAGAATCTCTGCCAGCCAGCCCTTTCTAGAGAATCTCTGCTAGCCTGCCGATTCCTGCCGCTCTCTGGCCCTGTCTCCCCTTAAAATCCGCTTACGGTGGCTTCGCGCGACACCCCAAAATGCCGAAGATGAACGCCAGGTTGACGAGGAAGATCTTGAGGACTTCGAATATTAAAACGTCCGTCATCGGAGCGGCGAGTAGTCGCGAGTTCAAAAAATGTCCGAAAATGTGGCCGAAACTGGATACCGGATATGCAAATTAGCAAGCGAGGATGTAAACCGGAGTATCCTAATTTCGGTACTCGAAGAATAGGAAACCACGAAAAATCAACATTTCGTAAAATTCCGGTAACAATACCAAGGTATCGCATATTTCGTACCAAACCTTTTTACGGACTATTCCTGATGCCGTTTGAGATGCAAATTGAATTCTCCGTTGAAAATGCCCGATTGGCCTCAAATTTCGCTACTCTTGGTGCTGGACTGTTATCGGGGTGCACCATTTTCTGTTTTCCCACATATCTTTTCGTGTTGATAATACATTATGTATTGTCTAAGCGTATTTTTAGTAGTTTTTGGTTGCCAGATTTCAACATTTTTCAACATTTTGTAAATTCGAAAATATTGACTTTTTGGTTATTTTTCATAAATTTTTAACCAAAAGTTTAGAAATGTTTCATATTTTTTATATTTTTGATCTCTAAAAACTACGTAAGATGCTACAAAATGGTTGATATTTTGTTATAGGGCCATTGGAGAAAGCGAAAAAAAAAGAAAAAAGCGAAAAATCCCCCCTCCGCTAACAGTCCAAAACCACACCCTCTTTCGTGCCCCCAGTCGATTTTCCGATCAGTCGTCTCAAAAAATTGTTTATAAAAGAACAATCATGCGGTCCCGGGGGGGAGCCAAACAAAAATTTCTCATTCTCGATACCGATGGCGAAAACGGTTATATTTCTGATTTTTCTGTCATTTCTTTGCGCCTCCGTGTTGTGTGCGAAGAGGTAAAATTTTCATTAACGTTCACAAAAAATCTCTGCCAGCCCGCCCTTTCCTAAAGGATCTCTGCTAGACCGCCCTAATTTCAGGACTCGCGGCTCCTTCATCGGCCAGCTAAAAAACGTCACCCAAGATGAACTGGTCTACATCCGAGTCGAAGCATTAGCCAGCAACTGGACGCGGCTCGTCGATTTTAAATATGGTAGGCCTGACATAAGCTGATTCTTCGTATAATTTTTAGTCCCCGACACCGGCCGCATCTACGGCAAATTCCATCTGTATCCCGGGGAAATCGCACTCAAGTTTCTAGTCAAAACTACGACTTTTGGGGAGGAGAGTAGGTTATGAGAGGGCAGGCTAGCAGAGATTCTTCAGGAAGAGGCAGGTTAGCATAGGTTTTTTTCAGCACACGAAGTCCGATTGGATACGTTCGGGAACGATTTTGAAACCGCCCGGCTGAGTGCGGCTCGCTTTGAGTGCACCGTGAAGATGCGAAAGCCGAAAGAAGCTGGAATCCACGATCTTGGTAGGGTCTAAAGGATCCCAAATCTTTTTTTCTAATTTTTTCCCCGAGAATTTATAGTTTTTCACAAAATTAAAAATTTGAGGTTTTTAGAACCCAATAGCTGCGGTTGCACTGTGGGAATCTGTTCTTGCTGTCGCCAATTCACGATGCCACAGTTTCATCATAGGGGTAAGAGAGAGAGAGAGAAAGAGAGAGAGAGAGAGAGAGAGAGGGAGAGAGAAAGCCCAGTTTCTCGAAGAAAGACCATTTTCAGTATGCGCCAACATGTCCTACAATAAGCCGAGGCTGGCCCTCGATCTGTCGCTCGGATTTGATCAATATTCCTATACCTATGAAATTTCAGGCAAGTCAGATATTTCCTAAAGAATCTCTGCTAGCCTGCCTTCTCTAAAGAACCAAAAAAAATTTCAGCCCGCAACCCGCCGCCCGTTTGCGCCGAAATTCCGGGTACCCGCGAGATCCTCTCGGCTTGTCTGAAGTTTGAGAACGTAGGCATTTTATGGTCTGGGTTAGGCTTAGGCTTAGGCTTATGCTTAGGCTTATCTTTCATTCCATTCCAGCTGAACGTCACGCGCTACCTGGTGAGCGGCTGCGTCGAGTTTGAGGCCGAGCTGATTCATATGAGAATGGTTCGCGAGAAGATTGGTTGTTTCAATATACCAATTTGATCAAAAATCAGCGAATAAAAGATTTATTACAATTCATTGCGGCAAAAGTGAGTCGTCAAACTCGTCGAAGCTGTCCTCCTTGGCGGTGCGTCTGGCGCCAGTTTTTGGCCGTGCCGCGGCGGGACCAAGCGGGTCGCTGTAGGAGAAGTCGAGCTCTCCTGAAACGGGGAGATGGAGAGAGAGCGAGAGAGAGAGAGAGAGAGAGAGAGAGAGAGAAAGGGATACACTGACTTGGATCCTTAGAAGCAGGCCGATATTCTTGGCCCGAGTCATCAAAAACAAACGGCTGCGCGCTGTTCATCCGAAGCGAGGAGCGCGAGGTCGGACGATCCGCTGAAAAAAACAGGCTTAGGCTCGCTTAGACTTAGGCTTAGGCGGTTAGCGCTTAGGCTTAGGCTTAGCTTGTTTAGGCCCTTAGGCTTAGGTCGCTAGGCAGGCTTAGGCTTAGGCTTATGATCAAGTACCTGACGGTACTGGGAGACTATGAGCCGAGTGGGCGGATCGCTTCCCTTGGCTTGAGTCGGCGTCGCGTTGCATCCGGAGTTGGCGGACCTAAAAACGGGCTTGGGCTTAGGCTTAGCTTGGGCTCAGGCCTGGGCTTGAGCTTAATCTTGCTAAATTCCATACCTTTTCAGCCTTTTCCAGCTTGTCGACGTATTCCTTCGCTTCCGGCATCCCGAGATCAGTAGTGATTCGTACCAGGAATTTTAGGCCTGGAGGGTTTTAGGCATCAAAAATCCCGTGAATTTTTAAAGGCCACCATAAGCCAAAAATCTATAAGCGAAACCCACATTCAATGTTGGCAGGGAATTTCCGGTGTATATTCCGGTAGAGCTCCAGGGCTCGTTGATAGTTTCCGGCTCGGCGGTGTGAAGACGCCATCATGAGTTGCCATTTGATTTCGTTGGGTCTGGAAGATTGCTTTTCCGGCTAGTAGGGAGGCTAGCAGAGATTCTTTAGGAAAAGGCAGGCTAGCAGAGATTCTTTAAGAAACGTACTGCATAATCGCCGCCTTCTCGAAGTAGTTGACAGCTTTTTCGCTGAATTGGGCGTCGATGTAGTACGCGCCCATCCATTCGATGACCTTCATATTGGAAGGGAAGAAGCGATAGGACTAAAATTATCTTTTCTCTCTCTCTCTCTTCTCTCTCTCTCTCTCTCTCACTCGCTGTCTCGCTCTCTTTCGCTGTTCTAAACTCACATCATAATTGCACTGAAAAGCCTGTGCTTTATCGCCTTCGGCATCGTAAATCTGAGCCAGCCGCTGCAGGATCGCCGGGTCCGTCGGCGCCAAGGAGTTCGCCTGTAGGAAATTTTCAAACTTGCTTTGCCATTTATATACCTGTGAATACAGTTCGATTGCTTGCGCAGTGTCTTCAAGCGATTCGTAGCTGAAAGGACGGAAAAATTGGGTTTGGATATGAAACCGTCAGGCTAGCAGAGATTCTTTAAGAAAACCTACATTGCAGCCAATTGACATAGTACTTGGACATTGTTGATGAGCATCCGGTGGAGCTTGAAGAAACACTCCAGGGCTTGCTCCATTTGGCCGAGTTGCCGTTGCACCAGGCCGAGGTTGTAGAGGGCCTGAAAAATATGATTCCCTAAAGAATCTCTGCTAGCCTGCCCTTTCCGAAAAAATCTCTGCAAGGCTCTACCTGAACGCAAGTCGAGTCATTGGCCAGCGCTTCTTTGTAGGACTGCATTGCCTTGTGGAGCTCTTGCTGAAAACCCGGATCTTAAGCAGTTTAAACGACCATTGAAGGCAACTCTGGACCCGCCCCATCGATTCTTGACGTCAAGCTAAGCCCAGCTACAGTACCCCTCCTTGCAAATCCTAAAGTGCGCCTCGAAACAGCTCTTTCGTCCCAGTCGGGTCCCGCCACGGCTAAAGGGGTCGGCTGGCTGCTTGCCAAGGCATCTAGGGGCTATGGATTTGCCTTGTCTGTCCCTTTAAAAGCTTTTCCAGCCGGCTTACCCGCTGGTAGTGAATGTTGCCCTGGTTGACGAGAGCGGCTGGGTTGTAGTGGTCGAGGGCAAGGGATTGCTCGGTGGAGATTTCCGCTTCTTTTAGCAGCTTTTCGCCTTGCTGAAAAAGGCAAGCTAGCAGAGATTTCTTAAGCAAGGCAGGCTAGCAGGGATGCTTTAGGAAGAAGGAAGAAATGGCGGTCTTACCAATAGCTGCAAAACGGCCAAATTGTTGGCAGCTGCGGCGGCAATCTTGGGCTCTTTGTTCTAAAATTTGCCCAATCTACCGTATGCCTTGGCAATACCTGAAAGACGTTGAGCACTTCTGCTGCGGCTTCTAGGTCGCCACGACGGACTAGTTCTGCTGCCTGAAATTTGGGGCCATAAATGATCGGTTTCTCTCTCGCTCTCTCTCTCTCTCCCTCTCTCGCCCTCCCACTACCGTACCTTGCTCATCTCTAATTCCGTTGCCAATGGTGCGTACACCGATTGCTTGATCGTCTCGACGCACCATTCGTAGCCTTCCGCGTAGCTAGAATTAGTGTTGGAGCATAAACCTAAGCCTAATCCTAAGCCTAAGTCCCAAATCCTAAGCCTAAGCCTAAGCCTAAGCCTAAGCCTAAGCCCAAGCCTAAGCCTAGCCTATTGCCTTACTCGCTAGCTATCGCCGGGGAGATGACCCTGGCCGCGGTGATGATGGCCCGCTCGGCTTGCTGACGTCGCTGCCGTTCCCACTGGCGTAGACCGTCCCCGTTGAGGACTTGCGACATCAGGACGTCATCTTTATCCTAAGGTAACCCCAACATTAAAGCGTCTGTCTGGGAAGATGAGCAAAATCGCCAACCAACCCCCGGTTTCGGCTCGTCGTCCATGTCCAGAGGAACGTCGAGCAGTCGTTGGAAGGCGTCTCGCATTCGGTCGACGTCTTCCAGGCAATAGGCGGTTAGGACTGGAATTTTCAATGATCTCTGCTAGCCTGCCCGTTCCTAAAGAATCTCTGCCAGCCTACCCCACTCACCCAGATTCAACGCGGTCGAATATTCAGCTCTTTCTTCAACGCAGTGCTCAAACGTCCCAGCGGCTTCATCGTACTTTCCAAGCTTGATAAACGAGACACCAATGTTGTTGAGGATTTTGATCCTATAATCGATATTTCGGTATTGAGAGAGAGAGAGAGAGAGAGAGAGAGAGAGCGTACCTAGTTTCCTTCTGCACACTTGGCACCTGATCGAGCGCCATCCGGTAGTATTTTATGGCCTTCTCGTAGTCCTTCTTTTTGAAGTAGATGTTCCCGATGTTGACCTAGACGTCAAAATTTTGTTTTTGCTAGAAAGCCTACCTTCAGTTTCCCGGAATGGGCGAACATCTTGTTCTTGACGATCACTTGGTAGGTGTTCAGCGCCTCGTTGGTCATGTCGTTGGCCATGTACTGGAATTCGGGAGGCTAGCAGAGATTCTTTGGGAAAGGAGGCTTGCAAAGATTCTTGAGGAAAGGGCAGGCTAGCAGAGATTCTTTAGGAAGGGAGGGGAGAAAAAACACAAAAAAAAAGGAGAGAAAAGAAAAAAAAAAAAAAGGGAGGGGGGAGGGCCGAAAACCCACCTGATGCGCCAAATTGAAAAGTACAGTAAAAGTCAGGTCCAAATTCAGCTGCTCCACCAACGAGAGGCTCTCCCTAAAAAACATCTTCAAAACCCCAAACTACAAAATCCTACCGCATTCTCACGGCCGCCCTCTCCTTTCTCCCGGCTTCTTTCGCTTTTTCGAGTGCCTGAAAAAAATGGCGTCCAAGAAATTCGGAAGCCCAGTACCCCCTTGTAGTCCTTTTTTGTCGTAGGCCAGGATGCTGTCCTTGAGGAGGTCCATTACCTAGAAATAGGGTGCTAGCGGAGGTTACTTAGGAAAGCGGGGGGAGGGGGGTGGCTAGCAGAGATTCTGTACCTTGTTTTCCATTTGTCGGCATTTTTCTTCGGCGCTCTCGTCCTTCTGGTCCATAGCTTTGACGGCTTCGGCGGATTGGACTGGAAACGGGAATGGTCGGGGAGAGAGAGAGAGAGAGGAGAGAGAGAGAGAGAGAGAGAGAGAGAGAGAGAGAGAGAGAGAGAGAGAGAGGAGGAGCGAGGGAGGAGAGGCGAGGGAGGAGGGAGAGGGGAGAGGGAGCGAGGGGGGGGGGGAGGGGAGAGGGGGGGGGGGAGAGGGGAGAGAGATGGAGATAGCAAGCTAGATACCTTTATTAGCAAACGACGTATAACCAGCAGCCCTCACGGCCGTCATCGGCCGCGCTGGTTCGTTGCGCGTCGCGGCCGCGGTGCGGCCGCCGGCTCGCGACCGACCACCATACGAAGACGGGATGATGCTGCCGGTTCCGAATGACGACGGTGGTCGCGGGTTGGTGGTGGTGGTCTGGAATATCGAGAGAAAATTACCGGATTCTCGTCATCCTCTCATTACTGCATTTTCGGTCTATTTAATCGGCCTACCGGTCTCCTGCCATGACTCGACCTGGCGACGGCCTGCTGAAACGATCGGTCCTCGGTGAGTGCGGCCGTGTCGTAGGCGTGGTCGTACTCGTCGAAGCCGCCGTAGGGGTCCTCTTCCATTATGGTGAATGTTAGTACTGAATATGGCTTTTGAAAATGTTAGCCGGATTCTTTTGAAAAGGAGTTGGAAGACAGAAAACTTTAGGCTTGGGCTGTTGGTTTAGGCTTAGGCTTAGGCTTAGCTTAGGCTTAGGCTTAGGCTTAGGCCGTTTAGGCTCAAGGGTAAGGCATCAATAAAAAAGCCAAATTCTTGCTGTTCGAACCAGCACAAATCGCTGTCCCGTCTCCACCCGGTTGCCATGGCTACGGTAGACGCGCGCACCCCGATCCTTGCCCTGCCCGTCCCCCCATTTTTCCGCCTTTTCCCCTGATTTGTGCCCACCACAAACTACAAAATAATTTTTATTTCCACAATAGTTAATTTATGAAAAATGGCAATTAAAAAACACTATAGAAAAATCATTTTCGAAAGCATCGTCGTCGCGGGACCCGTAGCGGAATTCTTGTGCAAATCGTTGTGGACTAGAGATGAGAAGGAATACAGAGAAATACAGTATTACAAATACACAATATACAAAATACAATACATTTTCCGGTTTTAGAAAATGGGTAATGACGTGTGTTGTTCAAAAAAACAGAGACATTAGATGTATTCTGAGGGCGGCGGATCCGGGGGGAGATCGGGCAATCTTTCGTAGATGTTCTCGTCTTCTTCCAACTTAAAAGGATTTGGTCGGATTTCCCTAAGAATCTCTGCTAGCCTGCCATTCCCCGAAAGACTCGCTGCTAGCCTACCTCTGCTAAGAAACTACAAACTACAAACTTTTGGCGGCGGCACCCTGGGTCGCTGGGGCGGCGCCTGCCTCGGCAAGGTCGGCAACCGTTGGTTGGGTTGTCGCGGAAGCTTGAAAAAATTGATTACTGTGGAGTGATTCGGCTATCCTACCGTATCCGCATCCCAGTCGGGCGGCATGTCGTAGAAGGGCTCGTGGTCGAACGAGTAGAGCAGCTGCGACGGCGTCGGGGAGTCGGCGGGACTAGAATTTACCGGATAGATGCTTGCAGAGATTCTTTAGGAAACGGCATGCTAGCAGTGATTCTTTAGGAAAGGCAGGCTAGCAGAAATTCCTTAGGAAAATCTCACTTGAAAACCGGCAGTGGAGGCCGGACCAGCGGCCGTCCGATCGGTAGCGTGACGTGGATGTTGCCGTTTGGCAGTTGCTAAAATTGGAGGGGAATTCAAGCACTTCTCTGTTCTCTTTCTCTCTCTCTCTCTCTCTCTCTCTCTCTCTCTCTCTCTCTCTCTCTAACCTGTAGGTGCAGCATTTGTGGAGGAACTTCCAGTTGAGCTATGGGTGCCGACGTAGCGTAGTAGACGACCTATGTCGTTTGAGGTGCAAAATTGCCAATCGGGCATACCTTATCTGGAGACGAGGTACTGTCCGTCATCTGCGAGACGGTCAGGGCCGAAGGGGCAGCGTAGATGACCTAAAAATCGTGATGAGAAAAAGAGAAAGGGAGAGAGAGAGAGAGAGAGAGAGAGAGAGAGAGATTCCCCACCTGTCCCATATTCCCTCCAATCGGTGTAGGCGTATATTTATTCAATTCCGCCCGGTTCGGCGGGGCATGGAAAGTTTGCGGCCGGAAGACTCGGACGACGACAAAGACCAGGATCGAGACCTAAAAACTGGGATGTAAAATTTGGGCAAGCTAGCAGAGACCCTTTAGGAAGGCGCATTCTTTGAGGCATTCAAAACATACCATCAAAAAGGCCAATATCACAAGGTAAACATTGCTGTCTCCTGACGAGGAAACTTTCATCTCACGCAAAGTCGCCAGGTCTGAAAAATACGTATCTCTCTCTCCCTCTCTCTCTCTCTCTCTCTCTCCAAAACCTACCGTAACACACTGGCGCCGCCGGCTCCCAGGTGCCTCTCTCGGTACAAAACACAATATCGTGCCCAATCAGCCGGAATTCCTTTCCGCACTCGTACTGTGCACTCCCATTCACTGTCGTGTTCGATACGGAGAATACGCCGTGGCCGATAGATGGGGGTAGGCCGCAATCGTACGCTGGAAAGTTGCGTAGTTAGTTGTAGTTCCTTACGAATCTCTTGCAGCCTGCCCTTTCCTAAAGAATCGCTGCTAGCCTGCCTTTTCCTAAAGAATCTCACTAGCCTGCCCTTCCCCAAAGAATTCCCAAAGAATTAAAGAAAACTCACGTTCACAAATTCCTTGCTCGCCGCTCCACCTCCCGTCTGGCTGGCAGACCCGTAGTTTGTCGCCGACGTACTCGTAGCCCGGCAGGCAGTCGTACTCCACCTGAACCGACAACATTCTCTACCTGTTTAGGCTTTCCTAAAGTTCTCTGCTAGCCTGCTCCTTCCTAAACAATCCCTGCTAGCTAGCCCCCGAAAAACACACCTGCGCCTCAAACAGCGTCGTCCCGTTCAGGTAGTTCGCTTGGCCATTCACGATCTGGCCCGGGTCCCCGCAATCCAGGCCTAAAAATTCAAAATAGGCTTAAACCGGAAACGATTAAAAAGAGGCTAGCTGTCATGCTCCCTTTAAACGCCTAGCTCACTTACGTCGACATCTCGGAATCGAGCCCGACCATCTGCCCCCATCCATGCATTCGCGGGTCTGGTCTCCCTGGAATAGTCAGAGGTAGGGTAGAAAGAGAGAGAGAGAGAGAGAGAGAGAGTTAGAGAAAGAGAGGGAGAGAGTAAAGCGGAGAGGGAAGGAGGCAGGCAGGAGAGCAAGGAGGGCGGAGAGAGGAAGGCAGGAAGGCAAGGGATAGGGAGAGAAGGCTAGGCTTAGGCTTAAGGCTTAAGGCAGGCAGGCATCAGGCTAGCGGAAAGGCATGTCTTGCGCCTAGGCCGCTAGGCTTAGGCCAGCTTAGGCTTAGCTTAGGCTTAGGGATGAGGCTAGGCTTAGGCTTAGGCTTAAGAGTCTAGGTAGACGCTTACCAGTAACCGGAACCCATCCTCACACGAATAGTAGCACTGCGTACCAATGGCATACGAGTGGGAAGAGAAGGCGACCCGACCGGCTTCTCCCACCCCGGGAGACGTGCAGAATTTGGGTTCTAAAATCAAGATACCGAAGAATCGAAGAAGCTCTTCCAGGCTGCTGTTCCCAAAGAATTTCTGCTAGCCTGCCCGCGAGTCCAAGACTTAAAACCTACTGCTCTGGCAAATATATTGATTCCAAGCCGATTGCGAGGAGGCTATCCACTTCCATTCCAAAGGCCGGGCGACGAGGACCTGAATGGGGTCTTTCTCACTCTCTCTCTTTATCTCTCTCTCGCTCTCTCTCTCCCTCGCATAATTACTTCTCATTCGTCCGGGTCGGATGAGTCACAAGAACTCACCGCTTCTGGGCTGTTCGGCGCCGGCGGTCGGCCCGGTTCCGGCCAGTCGACTTCGCCCTCCCTGACCGGCTCGCCGTCGGCCCATTTCCAGTCGGACTCCCCGGCAAAAAGGCCTAAAAGGAGACGAGGCTTAGGCTTAGGATTAGGCTTAGACTTAGGCTTAAGCTTAGCTTAGGCTTGGGCTTAAGGATCGACTTCAGCTTATTAGGCTATCCGCCAAAACCCACCGATCCAATAAAACGAGGCGGCAAAGTTTCCGCTAGACAGCGCCGCTCGTAGCCCCTTTCGGGAGGTGGGGGATAGCCTACAAAATACAATTCCATCCAAGAGTAGTCGATACCTCATCGGAAGCGTGGCACCTCGATCTAGACAATTTGCTTGCGCTTGCTTCCAGTCGGTTTTGTCGTCCTTGGAGGCGGCGAGGCAGACGCCGTCGAGGACACCAACGAGTTCCATGCCGGAGACGGCGCATTGCCAGGCTGACACTAAAAGGGCGCTAGAGGTGTTTCCTCAAGGATATGTGTTAGCCTCCCTTTCCTAAAAAATCTCTGCTAGCCTGCCCTTTCCTAAAGAATCTCTGCGAGCTAGCCATCACAAGAACATAGATCGCAAAGGCGCAACCCTGTTTAGAATCGCGTCGGGTTTTTGACGACCAGGATCGGGCAACGTCAAGGGCCCAGTTGAGGGCCCACTCATCAGCGAGGGAGAGAGAGAGAGAGAGAGAGAGAGAGAGAGAGAGAGAGAGAGAGAGAGAGAAAGAGAGAGAGAATGCGTATGATGATGATCATTGCAGTTTCTCCAATCCGGGCTGAACTTGAAAATTCTAGGGTTTTTTTACTTGCCCAGTCCGTTAAGACCACCCTCGATTTCAGAGACCATTTAGCATAGACGTCACACGCCTATTGACACCCCTTGTACACCAAACATTGTACGCATGGCAACAGGTTACACGCCACCTAAGATGAGTGAGTGTTCGGGAAATTCCGGTTGCAAAAAGAGCGCAGCAGGTTCTCAAATTACAGTGCGTAAATATAGCGGGAACACCCACTCATCTTATATTTGGGAAAGGGTCCGGAAGAGCTTGGGATTTATGAAATTTGAGAGAGAGCGAGAGAGAAAGAGAGAGAGAGAGAGAGAGAGAGAGAGAGAGAGAGAGATAGAGAAGCCGAACCTGCATTCGTCGCATAAACATGGGCAGCGCATAAATGAAGTCGAGCCACTGCTGTGACGATAATTCGCGTTATCTAAATTGTTCGTTTTTCTAAAATTGTTCAGTTTCTCGAACTTTCCCATTCACTCTCTCCATCTCCCTCTTTCTCTCTCTCTCGCTCTCTCTCTCTCTCTCTAAATCGCATAGCTCACCCTGGCAGCCCGGCACTTGATGACAATCGTGGAATTCGTAGTGAAGGTATGCGCAGATATGTCGCAGCTAAAGACTCTGATTTAAAGGGCCATTGAAGGCAAATCTAGGCCCAAGATTGGCGCTATATATTGGCCTGGCAAGCCCGTTTCAGGGGTTGACAAATCACTGGATTACCTCTGGGAGCCTCCCTCACTCGTCACCAGCTCGACACTGTCAATTTCGGAGGAATCGATGCCGAGACGGAGGCCGATTGAGTGGACCTCGTACTCGCCGAGCAGCTCGACGGCCCACCAGGAGCGAGACTCGTTGTCTGGAAATGGGAGGCTAGCGGAGATTCTTTAGGAAGATTCGTAAGGGAGGGTGCATGCTAACAGAGAACATTGAGGAACATCTCTAACTCACCTGACAACGTGCAGAGACTCTTGGTTGGCGCCTCCGATGGCCCGCCAGAGGACTGTTCCGTAGGCTTGGACTTGGCGACGTCGATGGCGCAAACCGGCGGCTGACCGGACCAGCGGCCATTGGATTGACACTGAAAATGAAAGGAATTTGAGCGAGAGAGAAAGAGAGACAGAGAGGGACGCAGAGAGACAGAGAAAAAATACTTACCGTTCTCTCCTCAGCTCCGACCCTTTCGAACCCGAGTGCGCAACTGTACCTAAATAACCTCCCTCCAGTCATTTCCTAAAAGCTGACCTGGCTACCGTACCGTGAGGATAGGGCCCAGCTTCTGCAAAAATAACGTGTCCATTTTCGGGGACCCAGGGCTGGTAGCAGAGCGAGGAGATGCCTAAAATGCCGATGCAGGTAACACAAAAAAAAGATTATTGCCGATTTCTCGTACTAAAGCGTACTCTGGCGTAGAAAAAATTACATAGCGTAACCTTGCGTACTGCAACATACGAAAGATTACTCTTACATACGAAACGTGCCTTTAACATACCGTGTTTCTAGGTAGGCGGTCTGTAGTTGTTTATCCTTGGATCCGTAAGGTCGCGTACGCATGTGTACTGTAGCGTACTGTCAAGTAAGGTAGCGCGTAATCCTACGTACCAAAGGCTACTTCACCGGATTTTTTCGCACTGTAGCGTACTGTGACGTAATGTAGCGCATTTTCTAACACTTGTTGCGTAGAGATTTGCATAATTACGTAATCTAGCGTATTTCACGACCAAGCTTGCGTAACTTTAGCTTAGAGAAACGTCCGGTTACTTGTTATGACAAAGTTTAATGGACCGTAGTTTACTGTAGCGTATCCTAGCGTACTCAAGATTTTACGAACCTGGCACCAAAACGGCAAAAAGCGCAAAAACGTGGAGCCCGGTTTGGCGGGGCCCTCCTCGAGAAGTCGCGTTCATAAAAGGCGCGAGGTCTCCCGTTTCAGCGTCAAGAGCAACTTCAGGATCGCGTAGAACATCGAGAAATCAGGGAAACTCCTGAAAAACGTAGAATTGGTATGCTAGCAGAGTTTCTTTAGGAAAGGGCAGGCTGGCAGAGATTTTTGGGAAAGAGTAGACTAGCAGAAATTCTTTAGGAAAGGGCAGGCTAGCAGAGATTTTTTAGGAAAGGGCTGACCAACAGGCATTTTTGAACAGGGCAAACTAGCAAAGATGCTTCGAGAAATCCTCAAAAAACTCGCCCTCAGCTTACCGTCAAGCCCGACCGTCTTTTTACGGGATTCGGATCGATTCCAGGGTCGACTTCTCTTCTTTCCCTCGCCAGGTCGTCAGAGGTGTGGATAGGAATGTGGCGTAGTCGTCCGTGTCGGGGATGTCAGCTCTCGAAGAAGAAGAAGAAGGGGGGACAGGCCCAAAACCGAAAGGGACAAAGGCCACCAACCCCTAGCGCCCCGTCACCTCCTTGAATCTGGCCTCGGAAATCCCTGCAAAAATTGATTTGATGAGCTTTTAAGGTCAATTAAAACGAGAGAGCGAGAGAGAGAGAGAGAGAGAGAAAGAGAGAGAGAAAAAAAATATCTCCTCTTAGCCTGCCCCTGATAATTAGTCTAAATCCACGTAAAAATAACTTCAAATTTGAAGCACAAAATTTTTCCAGACGTACCAGGTGAAACGAACAGCTGGCGAAGCAAAAAAGCTCAGAAACTATAGAAATCAGAGAAATCCGCAACGGTAGCTAGCAGAGATTTCTTGGGAAAAGCCCGGTAAGCAAAGAATTTTTAGGAAAGGGTAGCCTTGCAGAGATTCTTGGAGAACCCTGTCACGATCCCTTAAAATGTGCAAAACCTCAGGGCTTTGCGTAGCCTAGAGGCAGGCTAGCAGAGATTCTTTAGGAATGGGCAGGCTAGCACAGATTTTTAGGAAAAGTAAAAAACAAGGCTCAAAAATGCTGTGCGGCTTCTCCTGTGCTGTTCGGCTCAAGTGGTGCTGGTTGTGTCGGGAGATGAGGGCCCCCGGGGGCTATGGAGACCCCCAGATGTCTCTTGTCCAGGTCGGCTTCTCCCCCCTTTCCAAGCCTCGCCCTTTTTTCTAAGGAGTCCTTTTCCTTCCCGCGCGGATCCGGGCGCGCGGCGCGTATTGTTTACCCGCTCTTTCCACCCAAACACACCGGCCAATCGGCGCGACCCCCGGCTGCTGCCGCGAAACCGACGCCGCGGTGGCGCGGGAAATTTTGGGTTCGCGCGTGTGGATTACCCGGGGGGTGGCGATGGCAAAAACTGGAAATTGACCCTAGCGTAACTCTGGAATGATAAACTTCCTAAAGAGTCACTGCTAGCTTGCTTTTTTCTGAAGAATCGCTGCTAGCCTGCCCTTTCTGCTCTCTCTCTCGCTCTCTCTCTCGCTCTCTCTCTCTCTCTCTACCTGCACTAATCCCCTTTAGGAGAAAGAGAGAGCCAGAGCGAGCTAGAACGAGAGAGAGAGAGAGAGAGAGAGAGAGAGAGAGAGAGAGAGCGAATGTGAGACGAGGAGGACGAGATACAAATATTTAAGGAGTGATCTATGGAAACAACGAAAGCGAGAGAAAGTGAGAGGGAGGGAGCGGGAGAGAGAACGAGAAAGAGAATGAGATTGAATGGCAGAGAGAGATTAAGCGCGAGATTGAGAAAAAGAGCGAGATAGCTGAGAACGACCAGAGAGTTCTGGGGAAGACTTTATGCGAGATACCTTACTTAGGCTTAGGCTTGGCTAGCAAAAAACACAATATTATTACTAACACCCGCAACAGGCGGCCAGGCCGGGGCAAAATACGCGTGAAGAGTGCACTGGTCATCATCACGGCCACCGGGGGTGACAGGAAGCCGAGCGCCCGCGCGTTTTGACGCCTGACGGGGAGGCGCCGCCACACAGCCTCTCCGCGCTGGCGCGCGCCCGGTAACGGACGCAAACATGCTATCGACAGTCAGAGGAGGGGGTGAGGGGGGAATGGTGTGAAGGGCCCACCATTCAAAGGAGCTGCCCCATCGGACACTCAATACGCACCAATACGCATGGCCCGGCCCGGCATGCCCGTGTTTTTTGTGGGGCGTTTATGAAAGGAGAGTGTGGCAAGAATGGAAAATGCAAAACAATGGTCGGAAAATGCCGTCAGAAGGGGTGGAACGGTCTGAAAACATATTGAAGGAGCCTGTATTTTCCTTACAAATCTCTGCTAGCCTGCCTTTTCCCTCAAAATCTCTGCTAGTCGGCATTTAGAAGAGTAGGATTCAAGCCATTTTCGGCGCTTTAATAGCTCTTAAAAAGCGCGCGGAAAATCGGCTCCGGGTTCGGCAACAGGGATTTTTTTAAGAAAAGGCAAGCCAGCAGAGATCCTTTGAAAAGGGCAGGCTGGCAGCGATTCTTAAGGAAAATGCAGGCCAGCAGAGAATTCTTGAGAAAGGGTAGGTTAGCAAAGATGCTTCCAGAAAGGGGCAGACGAGCAGAGATTCTTTAGGAAAGAACAGGCTAGCAGAAAGTCTTTTGGAGCCTGAAGCAGCGCCCAGCTCGCCCTCGGCAGGCTAGCAGTGGCCATTGGAGATCAGGATCAAGATCTGACCGAAAATTGATCCTGAAATTCGCGGGCTTCCGCTTTGGATATCGGCTGAATACCTAATTCATGTTAATGGGCAAAGCAAGCTGTCTCAAGACGACACGCGGAAGATGCAGCTCTCGACGACTTCGCCAAGTTCGGTCATCCAAAAATTCGCATCCAGCTTTCATTTTTTCAGAAATAATTTTGTCCTCTGCACCCCGGAACGGTCCGCTGAATGCATAATGGATGATCATAAGGAAACCCCGGGGGGTCAACGGGGGGTCAGAAGAAGCAGGTGGCTGTGGTGGAGGGGGCCTCTTAAGCCTCGGCCACTCAATTATCTGCCCGGTTCGGTCGAACACCCCGGTCTCCTTCGGTGCCCTGGCGCTCGCGTAACAGCCCCTTCAATCCGGTCATCCAAAATTTCCTTTTTTGGGGTGCAGCAATTAAGGGATTCTCCCCTTTCCTAAAAAATCTCTGCTATCCTGCCGCTTCCTAGAGAAACTCTGGTAGTTCGCCACCATAAAAACAGCAATTTCGAGCTTCCGCAGCTTTTAAGGGGGCAAGGAAGCCATAAGGGCGGCTGCCAGCTTGCCCTTCGGCCATCAAGCGCAGCCAGCAGAGAGGCCTAGCAGAGATTCTCTAGGAAAGGGAAGATGAGCAGTGGTTTTTTAGGAAAGAGCAAGCTAGCAGAGATCCCTTAGGAAATACGCGTACCCCTCTTTTACCGCTCATTATTAACACCAATAGATTCAAGCACTACCTGGCAGCTGCACAAACATTTTACCTGTTGCTCTCTCTCTCTCTCTCTCCCTCTCGCCACTCATTTAGGGGTCCCGGGCAGGCGAAAAATTTAATACACGACAAGTGGTGGTGGGCACATGCCCTGGGGGGCATGTTTGCCAACATCGAGAAACCCGAGCCGCAGCCAGCTGGAAATGAGAGCGCGCGCGCCGTGGACGGAGACTCGATTTTCTGGAAACCATAGCTGGACATAGTTTTGGCGTAATTAAAGGGACATTGAAGGCAAAATTGAGGGTCACCTGACCGAAAATCACTGGATCGAAATAACTCAAAATTTTCAGCTTTTTCTCGGCGTCTAAGACGTTTTTCAACCCAGATTTTGAGTTATGGTCGATTAGACGATTTTAGACCAGGTGATTTTTCGATGGTTGTGTCCGGAAGAATCTCTGCTAGCTTGCCCTGGTACCACGATACTACGGTAATCCGCAGGGTATCGCGAGGGCAAGACCGTGTCCAGGGGAGGATCAGGTTGCCGGGACCGTAATTACCAGCTTTCAGTGGGCAGGTCGGCTAGCAGGGATTCTTTAGGAAACAGCAGGCTAGCAGAGATTCTTTAGGAAATGGCAGGCTAGCAGAGATTCTTTAGGAAATGGCAGGCTAGCAGAGATTCTTTGACTTTGAACCCCCTGAAACTCCTCTTCCCGGTTCCCCAATGGTTTCCGCTCGGCTGATCCATGTCAAACCCTCCAGCCTGGGGAGGCGAACCCCCCATTCTTGGGTCGACCATCTGTCAGTACCATTCACAAGAATACCCGGGAGCTCCCCCTGTGCCCCTAAATGGCACTAGAAAAGGGGGGGGGGCAGCTGGTGCCTATGCCTTTCCGGAAATAGTGGGGTGACGAGAGAGAGGGCAGTGAGAGAGAGGGAGAGAGAGAGGGAGAGAGCGAGGGCGAGAGAGAAAGCGGGGGCGTGGCCTGGCCATGAGGCCCCCGTTGCCCTGGGATGCCCAATAGCCTCAGGGCATGGATGGCCACGGGGGCCCAGGGCCCCCCACGGGCCACTGGGCCCTTCTTGGGCCCCTAACTCTATTAAATCGCGGGCCCTGCCTCTCCGCCGCTCGGCCCCGCGACGATCCAATTTACACCGTTTCCGGTGATAAGTGTCAAACGCCATTTTTCAGCCACCGTAACCCGGATTTTCTCGTATTCTAGGGGAATATTGCCCAGTTTTTGTGCGAGGAGCTTTTGATTTTCTGACCGCCGAGCCTCTGCTTACAACGAACGGATCTATATACAATTTCCGGTGATAGGTGTCAAACGGAATTTTTCGGCTACCGTAACCCCGGGAATTGGGCGTATTGTTGTGGAATTTTGTCGGTTTTTGGGCGTATTTCGGAGCTGGTTAATTTTTAGGCTTCGGGTACTTTCAAGAAGAAAACAGTGCCAATTTACGCGTCATTGTACCTAGGTTTTAACCAGAATTTTTGTCATACCGTAGACAGCTTTGGATGTGCAATATCCTGAATTTTTTATGCAACTTTTTTTGCCTTTTTTTAGTAGGAATTTTTAAAATAATGGATGTAATTCACAATTTGTTACCTGAGTTTTGCTTGGTTAAAAATAAACCTCGGCTTTTTGCCAATTTTCATGTTTTGTAACGATTTTGGCTCTGCGGCTATCGATTTTTTTGCCTTGTTTTTCGGGTGACGAAATTTAGCTAGACTTAGACTTAGGCCTAAGCTTTCTAGTATTTACCTACCAATTTAAACTCGATTTTATTTTTTCTTGCCTTCCAGTGCTCAACCCACAAACTCCATTTTCCAGCCTCCTCTTCTCGCCTCCTCGATCACCGTGGCGTGGGTGGGCGAGCGTCTCGGAGCTTCGTCTTCTGGAGCAGCAGGAGGGATGGTCCATCATCACCATCATGCTCAGAACCCGGAGATGAGGGCCTCATCGACCTCATCGACGGATAGTAATGGGTTCCCGGTGAAGGACCACGACGCCATCAAGCTGTTTGTCGGACAGGTGAGCAGGAGGTGGTCAGCAGTGATTCTTGAGGAAAGGGCAGGCTAGCAGAGATTCTTTAGGAAAGGGCAAGCTAGCAGAGGTTTTTGGAAAGCCAATGTTTCGGAGCGCAGAAGCTAGCGGAGGCCAATTGGACCATCGGCAAGGTAGCAGAGACCATTTCGGATCTCCACGCTCATGGCAGGCTAGCAGAGACCTCTTAGGAGCCGAGCACGATTTCTTGAACTCCTAGAACAAACCCCCGGCCCAAAATTGGGTCCCGAAGCGGCGATTCCCTGCCATGACCCCCTTGGTAGTGGGCGGATTTATGGGGGGTTTTCGAAATGGGTCTTTTTTGCTTGGCTTTTGGGTTGAGGGATCACCTCTTCGTGGCGGGACCCTCCAATTTCCCGTCCTGCGGGCATCTCGAGGCGCGCATAACCGGAAATATATATGGAAATTGGGCACGGGGATCGGGCTGATTTTTATAAGCAAAAATGGGAAATGAATTAGACGGAAAAACTGTGTTCATAAAATGCAAGAATTTCCGAAATGAACGCTATCAGCCTGTTCGTTCCCAAAGAATCCCTGCTAGCCTGCCTTTTTCTAAAGAATCTCTGCTAGCCTACCTTTTTTCAAAGCATCTCTGCTAGCCGGCCCGTTCCTAAAGAATCTTCGCTAGCACGCCCGCGCCAAAATCTTCATTTTTCTCTTGATTCCCCAATGATCACTGCTAGTTTGCCAAGGCATACAATACGCCAGGCACCAAATAACGTCCCGATTACTCACAAAAACTAAAACGTAGACATGTCGCGCAAAATTAGCCCTTCCCCCGGGGGAGCCACACCGAATGTGATCCCCGGCCCTAATTAGCATAGGGCCGCCCGATTTCTAATGCGAAAATCGAAGGGCGGCTTTATTCTTTTCCTTTTGCCTTTTTTCGGGTTGCCATCTCGTATTCAGGCAGACGCAAAAAAACAATCCCCAATTCTGGGTCCTCCTGGGCCCTGCTGGGCCCTTTTTCGGGCCCCCCACCAAATTGCCATATATCCCCGGGGCTACCGGCCCAATTTGAGGGGCTATTCGAGGGGCGGAATGGGCTGAAAAATGGGAGCCGAGCTCCGCAAAGAATCTCTGCTAGCATGCCCTTTCCTAAGGAATCTATCTGCTAGCCTGCCCTTTCCTAAAGACTTTTTTTTGACTTCTTGAAAGTTACAAAGACTTCCTAAGCCTAAGCCTAAGCCTAAGCCTAAGCCTAAGCCTAAGCCCCCTAAGTCTAAGCCTAAGACTCTCTGCTAGCCTGCCCACTCGTACTTTCGTTTCCCTCCTTGCAACCCCCACATTCGAATGAATGGGGGATGATCAGCGGGCGAGATTCCGACTCGACCGAAATCCCTGGGGAGCATGAGCTCGTGCTCAAGGCGGCGAGGAGGGTGAAGCTGAGGGGCTCCCCGGGGAGATATAGGCCAGGGTGGCATTTGGAATGCGCCGGGATCTGGGGGTCAGATATCTGCCGGCAGCCAGAATTGATGGCGGGAGGCTTCGGCAGGTCCCCCGGGAATTCTGAGCCTCACCAACCCTGGAAGTCACATCCACCCAACAGTTGAGATGGATCTGGGCTGAAGCCGGGGGATTGGAGAAAGGGGGCGAGGAGGTTGGGTAGCAAAGATTTTCGAGGAAAAGGGAGGCTAGCAGGGATTTCGCAGCAAAAACTTAGAGCGTCTATGAATGCGCAAAAAGAGTAGAAAACCTTTTCCAGATCCCACGAAACCTCGAAGAAAAAGACCTACGGCACCTCTTCGAGCAGTTCGGCAAGATCTACGAGTTTACGATACTCAAGGACAAATATACAGGTAAATTTTTGGGGTAATAAAGCCTAAGCCTAAGCCTAAGCCTAAGCCTAAGCCTAAGCCTAAGCCTAAGCCTAAGCCTAAGCCTAAGCCTAAGCCTAAGCCTAAGCCTAAGCCTAAGCTAAGCCTAAGCCTAAGCCAAGCCCAATTTGAATTTCAGGAATGCACAAGGGCTGCGCCTTCCTCACCTACTGCCACAAGGAGAGCGCGCTCAAGTGCCAAGCCGCCCTGCACGACCAGAAGACGTTGCCTGGGGTCAGTCTTGACTTCTTTCTCAGAAGAATCTCTGCTAGCCTGCCCTCTCCTAAAGAATCATTTGGCTTCTGTTTTTCCTCGAAAATCTCAATAGGCGCCGCTCAACGTCCCAGGCCCTTTAGAACCCCGTTTCCGTTATTAGTATCGGATCGTAATTTCCGGTGCCCAACCCCGCAAATGCACCTGGTGATTAGCGGGGTGGTGCGCCGTGCAAAACTCATTACCGGTGGGTTACGGTGGGCGGGTGGTGAGGCCCGGCGCTGATTACTATAATAGGCGCCAACGGCATTATGGAGCTGTTTACAACCTGGAAATCTGGTGGGGGGAGCAGGGATTTTTGAGGCCGGAATCGGCATTTTAAAGGGGAGGTGAAGCTGGGTAGATGGAGGCATGCTAGCAGAAATTCTTGAGGAAAGGGCAGGGTAGCAGGGATTTTCGGAAATCAATCCCTTGGGAAATTATTGAAAAGCTGGCCGCGATCTTGTAAGATATCCGGGGGGGGAAACCAAAATTCTTCGGCTGGTTTTCCCGGTCGACCTACTACTCAATATGCAGTCCTCTCACATCGTCTCTGTAAACTCTAACTATATTTAAAGTAGAAAACCTCTCAAACTTAGAAAAATCTTTGAAATCGAAAATTTCCTCATTTTCGGTCTTTCCCCCGCTCATCCTAAAGGTTCTCTAGGATCTTTCGCCCTTTAAACTTTTAACTAAAGTTGGGTACTTTTTACTCAGGCAATAAAAAAAGCGAATTTTCTCCCCCGGTAAATCCTTAAGCCCTGGCCACTCGATTTCACTCTCTCTCTCTCTCTCTCTCTCTCTCTCTCTCTCTCTCTCTCTCTCGCTCGCTCTGCACACAAGAGATCCTTAGGAAATCCCGACTAAAAATTTCTACCATAGACCACCATCTCCAATTTCTCCGTTTCTCTCCCCGATTTCACTCTCTAGCCCCCAAAAATTTCAATCCGACAAAGTGTCTCCCATTCGAATCATCCGCTCGAACCATCGCCCCGATCCCGCTGGGCCATAGCGCGTGAAAAATGGGCTCTCTAGTGCCTGGGGTTGCCTCATTTGCATGCAAGAATTCGTGAGATGGGCCCGCGGTGGGCCTGAATACCCCCGGAGGGCACGTTTATTGATTGAGGGGGAGGGAGAGGGGGATGAGACAAGAGAGAGAGAGAGAGAGAGAGAGAGCGAGAGAGAGAGCGACTAGCAAAAGCCAAAGCAATTGCTCTCAAGAACCCCGGCACGGCTTCTCCTTCCCCGGCCATGCCACACTGAAATTACGCCCCTCTAGCGGCTCACTTCTGATGCGGGAGTCACGATTCCAGGGCGAGACAAGGGATCCTAGAGAAAACGGGAAAATCCGCTAACGGCACCGGGGCAGGCTAGCAGAGATTCTTTAGGAAAGAGCAGGCCAGCAGAGATTCATTGTCTTGGGGCTAAAAATCAAAGAGTAAGCCATATTTTGCCTTCACCGCCCCTTTAAGCTCCAATTTCTTGCTGAGTAGGCTCTAGAAAGGCTCAGATCTGCCGGTGGCCCTAATCTGCATGCGCCCCGGGATCAAAGGCTGGTCAAGACGCGCCAGCTGGGCGCCGGATTACTATGATTCTCTGAGCTCTCTCTATCTCGCCCGCTCTATCTCTCTCTCTCTCTTTCTCTCTCGCTCTCTTTCTGTCTCTCCCTCCTTCTACGAACTCTCTCGCGTCAAGGATCTGTCAAATATAGGGCTACCGGCTGGCTGTGCCTTCGGGGGATGAGGGCAAATAAAGGAGAAGAAATAACTACAATCTTGTGGGGAGGTGCAGGTTCTTAGAAAGGGGCTTTTTAAAAGGGGTGGGGGGTTTTAAAGGGAAAAGGGCAAGGCTAGCAGGGATTCTTTAGGAAAGTGCAGGCTAGCAGGGATTCTTTAGGAAAAGGCAGGCTAGCAGAGATTCTTTAGGAAAAGGCAGGCTAGCAGAGATTCTCGCGGAAACGTCTGCCATCCCGTTATGCTAATTAGGCATAGCTCAATCAGACGGGCCCGATTACCCGGGGGGGGGGGATAGGATCAAGACAATGATCGATTGTCTTCATTGGGCCTTTAGAAAGTGAGAGAGAGAACGAAGACGAGAGAGAGAGAGAGAGAGAGAGAGAGAGAGAGATGCATAACTAGGGGTGGGCAAACCATGCGCGACCATCTGGCCTCCGGGCTCTAAGCCATTCAGGATGGCCGGGGGGTGTACAGAGGAGCGGACTGTACTCCCAGAACATGAGGGGGGAAAGTCGAGGAAAAGGAAGTCAGGCATTAATTGTAGCTTTCCTCTAGCCTCTCTCTCGCTCTCTTTCTGTCTCTCTTGCTCTCTCCTTGCACAGTCCCTTTAAAAAGAACGTAACACCAACAAATCGTAAGTCAAATGCCGAAACGCCTGAAAACTCCCCCGAAAAGCCACATCCTAGCGGAGAGCAGCGTCTAAACGAAGTATCCCCCGAGGCGCACCTCTACAAGAGCAAGAGCTTCTCCTCATCCTCCTTCTCCCCAATCAGTGACACACCGCCGGGGCCAAGGGCAGCGATCTCTGCTTCTCTAAGTTTCTCCATCTCGCTCGCTCTCTATCTCTGTCTCTCTCAACATGGCCTGTCTCTAGCCACCGGCCCGTCCAACCGAATTGCGGTGCGGGCGGGCAGGAGGGAAACAAGGTTACGGGCCAGGGAGGGGACGGATGGGCACTGGCCTAGGGCCCACACCATTCCTGGGCCCCGGATAACCAGTACGCTACGCTCCTATGAACGTCCTCTGGGCTTAACTTAGATTTAAGGCGTGTTTAACTTTCTTTTAAGCTCGTGTAAGTTTTCTCTATCGCACGCTCTGTGTCTCCCGCTCTCTATCTCTCTCTCTCTCTCTCTCTCTCTCTCTCTCTTACGCATTCATGCAAATTTTATTGGTTAGCTGTTTTTTTAAAGAAATTCGCTTGCTAGGGTAAGTGAGAGCGAGAGAGAGAGAGAGAGAGAGAGAGGGGGGGGGGGGGGGGGGGGAAGAAAGAGAGAAGAGAGAGAGAGAGAGAGAGAGAGAGAGAGAGAGAGAGAGGAAAGAAGGAGCGAGCTTAAAATCTCTAAAGCCCCAAAATTAAAGATTTTTATCTGTAATTACGATACTCCTGCAAATCCCGATTTTCCAGATGAACCGCGCGATGCAGGTGAAGCCCGCGGACACGGAGAGCCGGCCGGTGACGCCGAAAAACGTCGAGGACCGCAAGCTGTTCGTCGGCATGCTCTCCAAGCAGCAGGGCGAGGAGGAGGTCCGGCAGCTGTTCGGCCCGTTCGGCCAACTCGAAGAGGTACGCAGCGTTACCCTGCCGAGGCCAGGAAGTCAGCTTAGGCTTAGGTTTCGGCTTAAGTTTAGGCTTAGGTTAGGCTGAGGCTTAGGCTTCGGCTACCCCAGGCAGTTCGAAATACATGCAAAAAATCAAGAAAATCCAAAAATTTTAGGTTACCGTACTCCGCGGTGCAGACGGGGCATCGAAGGGCTGCGCGTTCGTCAAATTCATGAATGCATTGGATGCGCAGGTAAATTTTCAGGTTTTTACCGTTTTCCCCCAAGAATCTCTGCAAGCCTGCCCTGCCTTACAAAATTTTTATTGTTTAGATGTCGATAACCGCCCTCCACGGAAGCCAAACGATGCCCGGGGCGAGTAGCAGTTTGGTGGTGAAATATGCCGACACGGAGAAGGAGCGGCAGGTTGGAATCCTCAAGCATCTCGGCTAGCCTACACTTTCCTAAAGAATCTCTGCTAGCCTGCCCTTTCCTAAAGAATCTCTGCTAGCCTTTTCCCTCCGCAAGCATCTCTGCTAGCCTTCCCGTTTCCAGGTCCGCCGAATGCAGCAAATGGCCGCCCAGATGGGCCTGTTAAACCCGGTGCTGATCAACCAGGTCAACACCCAATACACCGCCGGCGCCTATCAACAGGTTGGCAGCAAAATTCGGTGGTTTTTCGCTTTTAAAAAGGCGCTGGGAAGCTTGGCAACTGACCAAAAATTATTTGCCAAAGTTCCCAGCGCCTGAACCCGATTTTAAAGGGGAATTGAAGTGGCCGACCGGGGGCTTCGGCCTCGGCTTGATGCCAGAAATCGGCCCTTCTCTACCCCGAAAAATTGGGTGTAAATTGTCGTGGTTGGTACCTCTACCGTGTCCATGATTCTGTGGTCCCGTGTTGATTGGTGTCATCAAAAGAATGACTAGAAAAATTGGTCCCGCTTTCCTGGGGAATCTTTGCTAGCTAGCCCTGAGAAGAGGGAGAGAGAGGGGGAGAGAGATAGCGAGAAAGAGAGAGAGATAGAGAGAGATAGAGAGAGAGGGAGAAAGAGAGAGAGAGAGAATGAGAGAGAAAGAGAGGGAAAGAGAGCTATAAAATTCACAACAGAAAAATGCCCACCTTCATAAACGGTCCCCTCATTTTGAAGCCGACCACCGTCCTTCCTGCCGTCCTTGCCCAGCAAACTTCGGCCGCCGCAGCTGCTCAACAGCAGCAGCCGGCCGCCCAGCAGATGGCCGTCGCATACCAACAAGCCCAGCAGCACCACCAGCAGCAGCCCGGCCTCGAACAGGTGTCAATTCCCGGAATGTTGCGTAGTCTCGCCAGCTTTTTAACTTTTTTTGCTTTGGTTTTTCCTGCGTTTTTACGATCCCGGTTTTGTTGTGCGTGCATGTGAGGCATCAAGCTTTCTAAAAAACTTTTAAACGAGCACTTTCCTAACCCGCCCCTGCTAGCCCACCTTTCCTCAAGAATCTCTGCTCGCATGGCCTTATTTTAGCTTTTCCTAATCCAATTCTGTTTTTGCGCACGATCCTTTCTTTAGTCGCCCGGCACCTGTATGCAAATTAGTCCAAAATCTCGAAAAACAGGGGGTTTTATAACACCTCCTTTTCAGCTCCTCCAACAGCAAGCCCTGGCTCATCAAGCCAATCAGGCAGCCTATTTGACGTCGGCGGCGATGCAGCACCCGGCGGTTGGTTTTGAAGGGTCTCTGCTAGCCTGCCCTTTCCTAAAGAATTTCAGCTAGTTACTCTAATCCGACTTTTTCAGCTGATGCAACTCCAAGGAGGTCAACCGGCTGTCTCAGCCGCGCTCCTCCAACCCGCAGCAGCTGCTCAGATGAACCAGCTGAACATGTTCCAGCTGCAGCAGGCCCAGATCCACGCCCTGCTCCAGCAGCAGCAATTCGCTGCCGCAGCCGGGCAACACGCCGGCCAGGTGTCGGCCAGCGACTTTGGATATTCGCGTGAGTTGGAAGAGAAAGAGATAGAGAGAGAGAGAGGGAGAGAGAGAGAGAGAGAGAGAGAGAAAGCGTGAGAGAGCTATAGAGAGAGGCGATAAAGGGTCTCTTTTTCAGCGCCGACTTCCGCCGCCGCCGCCGACCCGTTCGCCGCCTCGGCCGCCATGGGATTCCACAGCCCGCAGCCCTCCGCACTAATAGGCGTCGACCCGGCCGGCAAGAACATGAGTACGATACGCTACCCCACCACGCGACACCCGGACTACCGTACCCACTACCGTACACAAAAAATCCCCAAAATCCCGTATTTTTGCCTCCTGAAATCGAGTCACCTTTTAATAAATTTGATACTTTCTGCTACATTTCTACAAAAAATTGTCTTTGGTGTTTTGTGGAATTTTTCTGCGTCTTTGACGTGTGCCCCCTCTGCGTCTCTGTTCCCTCATCACGTTCAGTTAGTTTTGCCCATTCACCCAAAAAGTACGGTGGATTTGGTACGGTAGTCCGGGTGAGTGCACGTTTTTTGGTATTATTTCGTAGTCGTTCTTGTGGAGGTTTTTGGGCAGGCTAGCAGAGATTCTTTACGAAATGGTTTCCCGAAATTCCCAAAAGGATCTCTGCAAGCTTGCTCCGGGCTCGGGCGAGATGGCAGAGAATCCGATTAAGGCGGAAGGGCCGATGTATCTTAATTTCCAGAAAAAACTCTGCTAGCCTGCCCTTTCCTAAAGAATCTCTGCTAGTCCGCTCCGTCTTCAATGGTCTTCGCCAGACTGCTTGAAGTCGCTGACACCCCCATTTCCAGACGGCATCTCGATGCAGCAGTTCGCCCTCCTCCAACAGGCCGCCCTATCCACGCCGCTCGTCGCTCCAAAAGAGGGTACGGTAACCGCCTTCTGCGGGCTATCATTAATGCGCCGGGGGCCAACACCCAGTACCGTAACCCGTGCCCTTGATTAGGTCCCGCGGCGCGTTGCTGCTGAGCAAGAGAAAAAGGACAAAAAGGCGAGGGCATATAAATATAGTGAGTTGTGGTGTCTTTCGGCTACCCAGAAAAAAAGAGTGGCGTGTCGTGACGCGCACGCGAGCGCGCCCTCTGGTTTTTGTGCTCCGAGGTCATTTGAGGAGATGTAGGTACTGTGATCCTTTTTGATTCTCTCTCTTTCTCTCGCTCGCTTATTGTCTGTCTCTCTCGCTCTCTCTCGCTTCTCTCTTTCGTGCTCACTCGCTTGTCTAGGTTTGTCTCTCTTTTCATCTCTCTCCTTTTCTCTCTGTCCCTCTCTCTCACTTTCTCTCTCTCCCTCTCATTCTCTCTCTCTTTCTCTCTCGCTCTCTCTCTCTCTCTCTTCCTCTTTCTCTCTGTCTCTCTCGCTCTTTATCTCTCTTTCCCGTACCGTTTCTACCTCCAAAAATACCTCTGGTCCTCAAATCAGTATACCTTCCTGAAGCGTCGCGTGTGCGTTGCGTCGTGCGCCCCAAAATCTTCTTCCCTTTCCCCCACCGCCCCCCTTTTTTGCTGTAGTTTCGTCTCTCGAAATTTGCATCACCACAAGCATCGATATTTTGTAAATATTTTCTATGTATTCCGGCTAGCCCCGCAGCGCTCGATATTTTTCTTTTCGTGGTTGCGCCTCGTCGTCTCGCGCCGCTACAGTACCCCGTTGGGGTACTGTAATTTGGTACTGTAGTCTGTAGTCTTTGGCTCCTATTTTCGGCCCCATTAAACAACACGCTTTACACTGTTGGATATCATGTCGGCGTCGTGGTGGCAAGGATCGGTTCTTTTGGCCGGAAAGCGTAGTGAGGTGTATTGTGGAACAGTGAAGAGGGGAGGGCAGGCTAGCAAAGATACTTTAGGAAACAGCAGGCTAGCGGAGATTTTTTGTAAAGGGCCAGATAGCAGAGATTTCTTAGGAAGGGCAAACTAGCAAAGGTTCTTTGAGGAAATGCTGGCTAGCAGAGACCCCTTAGGAATTCTTGAACTCCAGGCAAACAAGCAAACACCCTTTGGGAAAATTATTTCTGGCCGCCGTCCGTGCCCCTTAAATATACAGTGTGTCTCGCGATGTGGGTCGTTATGGTGTGGAGATGGCTATAAATATCATAAATATGTATTTAAGTAGGGGCAATTAAAGGGACTTGGAAGGCTTAGGCTTCGGCTAAGGTTTAGGCTTAGGCTTAGACTTCGGCTTAGCTTTAGGCTTAGGCTTGGGCTTGACTCAGCCTCAATACCGCCTTCCCAGTCCCTTTAATCTCCCCCACCCCTCCCATTAATGCGTCGACACGTGGTCTATTGGTTGGTGCGTTTAGTGCTCGGGCCCGACGGGTGCAACCTGTTCATCTACCACCTGCCGCAAGAGTTCGGCGACCCGGAGCTGGTGCAAATGTTTGCCCCGTTCGGCAACGTCATCTCCGCCAAGGTGTTCGTCGACCGGGCCAACAACCAGAGCAAGTGCTTCGGTAGGTGGGAATTGTGTACGCGGCCGTACGCTGTACACTAATGTACTGTGCATTCGGGTACTGTAGCTTTTCTAGTAGAGACCCCCCTGACAATTGATGGAAAAATCGATCTTGTACTGTTTAATTTTGTACAGTGCCAGTTTTGGTGGTTTGGAAAGTGGTCCAAGCGGCGATTTTTTTGCGGATTTTAAGGTTTTCAAACAACTTAAGATTTTGTAAAACACAGTGGATTTTAATTAATTTAAAAGCGTGCTAAAAATACTGAATCCTGGAAGAGCCAGAAAGCGGGAGATAGAGAGAGAGCAAGAGAGAGCGAACGTGAGAGAGAGAGAGCGGGAGATTGAGCGGGAGAGAGAGTGAGCGGGAAAGATAGTGAGCGGGAGAGAGAGAGATAGAGAGAGAGAGAGCAAGAGCGGGTATCCGCTAGCTAAAAATGCAGTAAATAGATATATTTAATGGCGTGTTTTCCAGGCTTCGTGTCGTACGACAGTGCCGCGTCGGCCAACACCGCCATCACGGCGATGAACGGTTTCCAGATCGGGATGAAGCGGCTCAAGGTTCAGCTAAAGCGACCGCGCTCCGACAAGCCGTACTAGCAGAAGAAGCCCTTCCCTGTCCATTTAAGATCCTATGTATAATTCCTTGAAACCCGTGAATTCCGTGTCCGTTTCCGGAAAGTGCCATCCGTTTTTTGAAGTTTGTAATCTATAGTTTTCTGTTTTTATTTGTCAGTCTAAGCCTAAGCGAAGCCCTAGGGCTAAGCCTGGCAGTAACCCCCCCCCCCAACCCCCCCCCCAGCCTAAGCCCAACCCCCCCCCCCCCCCCCCCCCGCAGGGCTAAGCCTATGCCTCTACCTTCCTGTGTATTCAATGGCCATTAATGTGCAATCCGCGACCACCCATCTAGCCGAGTTCCCCTCTAGTCATGTAGGGCGATTTATTCTAATGTTTTTTGGATCTCAATTCACCGAATCTTCGGATCTCACCAAAAAAAAAAACCTAAGCATCATGCCAAAAATTAAATTTCCTTTCATCCAAATTAATTCCCCCTAATTTCACCCGTTTTTCCCGATTTTTCGATGAGTTTCTGTTGCCCAAACCCACGTGGACCGACCCTCGCCTTGGTTGTGAAGATTTTTGTAAGTTTTAGTTTTTAAAATATTTTTACTCCCCGATTTTAAAATTCACAAAAATAAAATCCATATTTTTACGCTTATTAAGTTCAATCCAAAGCTTTAAGGTATGATTTTTGGTTTTGCTTGATTTTTGTTTGTGACGCGCATACCGTACATTCCACGATTTTTCAGTTTTTCGTGTTTTTTGTTGTAATTGGGAGGCTGTAAATTTCGATATTGTCGCTTTAAAGGTATGGGGAAGGCAAAATTATGGATTTTGCGCGCCGCGGCTTACGCGTTGCGTGCGGCGGCGCGTCAAAATCCACAGTAAATCGATAATTCCACCTTGCCCGTCCCTTTAAAAGGGGTGTGACAGCTAGGAAGAGTGTCGAAATTTGCATCCTCTCATTAATGCTGGAGGCTTTCCATGATCTCATGTGTAAATAGGACAGTGCCGTACTTTTCGTGTTTTTCTCATCTTCCGATTTGTGTTTCTTGGTGTCCAGCGTAGCCGAATGATCTCATGTGTAAATAGCACCCATTTCCGGACGTTTATTCTTGTCATTTTTGAGGTTTTTGCCCTGCGCCCGAATATACTTAATGCGATGTTTTTTATAATTTTTCATTGTCGCCCTGGGACCCCGTTTTTTATTGGAATGGAGTCAACGAATAAATTTGTGGATTTTTTTCAGCAAGTACACTGTACAAATTACCATCCTTAAGCCTAGGAATCCCTGCTAGCCTGCCCTTTCCCAAATAATCTCTGCTAGCCTGCCCTTTCCTAAAGAATCTCGGCTAGCCTGCCCTTTCCTAAAGAATCTCTGCTAGCCTGCCCCTTCCGAAAGAATCTTTGCTAGAATGTCTATTTTCAATGCGATTTTTCGACGAACGGACCGGAAATTTAATCAGTAAACCGAATTTGCATCCAAAATCATCCAGAAAGTAATTAGGAAATGACCCGGAAGCTCCTCCAGTTTC